GATTTGTTGAAAAATGCACATTAATTTGGTAACATTCGTCACAGTGAGCATCTGATTGTGATTATACCGAACACAATACTATATCAGTTGTGAGAATAAGCCTTTAAATCTATTGAAGTCAGTGGATTTAATAACACAAAACATTTGCCAAACACAAACCAACATTAATACCAAATGTCTCCGTCTTACATGTTTCTTATTTGAGGTGGAAGTCAGCCGTGTTACAGGAAACATGCGTCACCACAAACGCACACACACACACACACACACACACACACACACACACACAGACGTTTGGTATGCTAACCACCTGAGGTAACACCTGTATGTGTGTGTGTGAGGGTCTCACTTTTGGGCTCTTTCTGTGTTTTGCAGCTTTAACAGGAGCTGCGATTAGAGGGGAATGAGCCGGCATTAGCAGCAGCCTTTCATTATGACTCATAACTTTATGACAGATGAATTACTGTTTTTTTTTTATTTTTTTTTTTTTTATGTTGAGCAAGAGAAACCCTCCGATGACACACACCAGCACACTTCTGTAAAACCACTGTTCCTAACTCTCAGTTTTAAAAATTGCAACAGACGCACTTAGATTTCCACTCGGTCATAACTGCCATGGTAACAAGTTTTTGTGCCTCCATCAGTGTGTGTGTTCACACAACTGACCCCTGAACAGGGATTATTCAGTCGATTATTGCTAAACACCATCATGCTGCTCAGCTTCCCTCCATCTCCCAGTACAGATACATTATTGTTATACTTTAACATGCGTTCCTTGGTATCAGTTATTTGTGTGGTCTCCTAACAACATGTGTCTTCCCAAATCAATAGCAAAGATGCTAATAATGAGTCAGAAATATTTGAAAATGAATCTACCAACTATTTTCTTTCGTCTTTTAGCAAATTGTCATCTCAGCACGCTGAAGTGCCACCTCTGTCAAATACACCACACCACAGACTGTATGGGTTACAGCTTCTACTGTGGGAGTGTGAGCTGTCTGAACTAACATTACCTCATAATTATTAACGCTTGTAACGACAGAGTCAACCTGCTTTGGTGTCTGTGTGATTTTGTTGGCACTGGCTTGGTGTTGGATGTTAGATGCTGCTGCTCTGTTAGCTTGTGCTAACCAGTCAGACGTTGAACTGACTATCTAATAAGAGGAGAGCGGCTCATGCGATGGCAGCAACAGAAAGTTTGCTAATTCAGCAGTAAGTCAGGTTTATGGCTACGTAGGGAGCGGTTTCTTGTCTTCGAGTCCCTTATGTTGCACAGCCAAGTTTCTACTGTAGCCCAGAACTATGGAGCTACATTAGGGTCAAAAGTTTTGTACTTGAAAAAATAAAATTTGAAACTGAAAATTCATGGGTTGATCTTGAATTTTGAAAAATACAACAATGTATTCAAAATAAAAATAAGCGTATAATTTTGATTCACTTTGGTAATTCTTTTGAATGAATAATTTATTTTCACTTTTCACTTCCATATATATTTTGACACTTGAGGTCTTATTTTTTTTCAGTTGTATGTTTTATCTTTTCAGATTCAGATCTTATTTTTTACAGTTTCAAATCTTATTTTTTCACTTTCAAATCTTTTTTTCACTTTCAGATCTTTTTTTTTCAGTTTCAGATCTGTTTTTTGAGTTTCAGACTTTTGACCCTGATGTGGCGTGGGGGGCGTGGCATCAACATGTCAGTGACAAACTTCCATTTAGAAATCTGTTTTAGACAGTACTGAGCACCAATTGCGGTATAAGAGCGATAAATTATGCCAGATTTTGCAGTTCAACAGCCACATTTTAAGTGCTGATATGTCCGATTTCCACATAGCACTGTGAACGCAGCGTAGTGTCCGTTTTGCTTGCGATGATGGCGTCCGGTCGGTCGGGTCAATCTGCTGGAGCCCATACATCCAGCACACTCACCTGGTGCCACAAAAATCACCTGGAGCCAGGTCAGGTGAGTAGGGAGGTGTTTTAGGATTGTTTCCTTTTCCCCAAGCTCAAAGGTTTCATCCAGGGGACACGTCTAGATGTGGAAGCATCAACAGGGCCGTGACGATGGAGCTGTGAAAATGTATGTTGTCACAAAAACGACCCCTTAATACTTGTTATGATTTCCCAAAACTTCGTTAACATTTCTCACCTGTGTGCTGAATGTATGGGCTCCAGCAGATTGACCCGACCGACTGGATGCCATCATCGCAAGCAAAACGGACACTACGCTGTGCTCACAGTGCTATGTGGAAATCGGACATATCAGCACTTAAAATGTGGCTGTTGATCTGCAAAATCTGGCATAATTTATCGCTCTTTTACAGCAATTGGTGCTCAGTACTGTCTAAAATAGATTTCTAAATGGAAGTTTGTCACTGGCATCAATTTTTACACTGCCAGTCACATGAATATGCTGTATGTAAGTGTAATTTTTTCAGTTCCTACATTCCCTGAAGGCACTGTCACTCATGATTCCACAACCCTCTCAGTTGATGCCACGCCCCCCACGCCACATCAGGGTCAAAAGTCTGAAACTCAAAAAACAGATTTGAAACTGGAAAAAAAAAAAAGATCTGAAAGTGAAAAAATAAGATTTGAAACTGTAAAAAATAAGATCTGAATCTGAAAAGATAAAACATGCAACTGAAAAAAATAAGACCTCAAATGTTAAAATATATATGGAAGTGAAAAGTGAAAATAAATTATTCATTCAAAAGAGTTACCGAAGTGAATCAAAATTATATTTAACCTGAAAAAACGTTTCATACACTTATTTTTATTTTGAATACATTGTTGTATTTTACAAAATTCCAGATCAACACATGAATTTTCAGTTTCAAATTTTATTTTTTCAAGTACAAAACTTCTGACCCTAATGTAGCTCCATACAGAACGGACAAACCAAACACTTAGAGCGTTTACATGGCACTAGAGAAAACAAATTTATTGTGTTAGCCCGACTAAAACTGGACCCTTACAATACATGAAAAAAATCGTACTAAATCGAATTTTCTGAAAGTTGGACTAACACAACCAGATAATGTGATTGGGGGTCAAATTACTCCAAAATGGCTGAGGCACTCTGGGCATGCTCCACAGTTTCCGCCCCAGGTTTTGACCCGGAAGCTGAATAGCGTTAAATGCGTAACAGAGGAAGAAGCCGGTAACAACGTGGCAAAATCTACATCGAGAGCCGTGACTTTTTGGACGGACAAAATGTACAGAGCTGTAAAGTTGTCCACCATGGTACCAGTTAGCTGCTAGCTAACGGTAGCTGTGGTCTGTGATGCACAGTGGTGTAGTGGTAGTTGATGAGGTGGGGGTACTGCAAGGTAGATGGGTGAGTTGTCGAGGAGAGAACAAGTTTACTCTCCAATATATTCCAGTGACTTTTTGGCTGGATAGGTGGGTATACTGTAAACCATTAGAAAAAGAGGTGAGTGTGCTCCGTATACCTGAGTATACTCTCCACTACACCACTGGTGACGTAATAGGTCAACTGTAAAAAGGTCCAATACTAACAAGCTGAAAGGGGGCATATCTCCACCTATTGTAGCGGAGTCGGACATACTTGGGTCAATTAAATCAATTCCCCTCCCGTGCTTGTATACTGGGACAAGGACAGTAATCTGATTGAATGGCCTAGTCGAGCTGTAACTGTAGCTTGACTTAACTGTGCATGTAAACGTACTCAGTGACTTTAGACAGGGACATTTGCGCTTTTGCATCAGTCATTGAAGTTCGCAGCCCCTCCGCAACTAAAGCGTTGGAAAAACGCCAGCATTATTATAATATACATATATCTGCTTTATTCTGTGTTTTTACCTGTTTTAATCACAGAGTCTGTTTGTTTTGGAGAGGAAGACACCTCTGTGCATAATTCAGCTCCCAGTTAAAACCTCCTGAACGTCTGGATCTTAAGTTATCAGAGCAAAGAGGTGAGCACACATTAGCAGGTGCTGGGCTAGAGCCTGTCTGCGCCGAGCTAAACAGCATCTGAAAAACACTACTTTTTTTAACATGAACCTGCTTTATTCAGGGTTTTTATCACCTGGTCTGAGTTTTTTTGAGGAGGAAGAGACCTCTGTGGATAATTTTGCTCCTGGTAAAAACCTCCTGAACCCCTCATCGCGAGTTCACGTTTTGCACACAGGAGAAGATTCAGCTGGTTGCAATCTGCAATTATCACTGCCGGATGCCAGTTTATCTTACACACTGTTCCTTTGAAAGGTGATGATATGTCAGTGTGTACAGTGTAAAGTTTGTTGGAGGCCAAAAATTGTTGTTGCTGATTTAAACTTCATCCTCTGAGGAACATTTATACCAGAAAACTGCAAGAAAAGAGATGTTTTGCTCTGAGGTGTCTTGAGAAGCTCAACTAAAGTATGACAGTACAAGTGGAGCAACATTTAAAGCCAGTGATGCATAATGATAGAAAAATGTACTGCATAATAAATTTATTAAGACCAAAAGCACTGATCTGTAAACAGTTTGCAGCAGCTGTGACGGCTAAACTGTTGTGTGACCTGCAGATGATTTGAACAGCATGAAACTCACATCAGAGCAAATACAGCAACAGACTGTAGGAGCCATTTAAAGGTGCTTCATAGATCTAAAGCATGTGATTATTCTCAGTTCTTAAAGTATTAGGTCTGTTAATTTAACTACAGGTCTCTGGTGAGGCAACACTGTGACTATTTCACACTCTATTCATCACTTCCTCAGCTCAGTCAAGAAATCAAAACAGGCTTTCCTCTGCAGCTTTTGAACACCCAGGGGGGATTAAGGAAGTCATCAAACGCAGCACTGACGTCACGTGAAATATCAACAGTCACCTTACATTTAACTGATAAAGCTGCACAGTGAAAACAAACGCCTGCTTTTGAAATTAACCCTGTGACTCGTCTGCTGGGAAGGAGGGAAGATTTAAATAAACACACGCTCAGTTTATCAGTTATCTGTGTATCACACTGAGACACTGTAAAGACTGATGACACTCACAGAGATGTCCTTCTGAACCTTCTCATACGCCAGCGTGACGGTGGAGCTGTGGTCGGGTGGAGACGGCGTCAGGGTGAAGCTGTAAGTGACGGAGCTTTGTGTCTCGGTCAGCGCCTGCTGGAGGTCCTGGATGTACCTCTCCGTCTGCATCTCCAGCTCCTCCGCCTCCTCACACACCACTGACTCACTCACTGTAAATAAATGGCACATAAGGAATGTTAGATTTACAAAGAGGGCGACACAGAATCAGCCTGAGGAAAACTAAGTGTTGGAAACAGCAAGATAAATTAGCAGAAAGAAGAACTAAACAAATAAACAATATTGGAACTTGTGGGTCTGTCATGTGATGCCATTGAGCCCAGAAATACTTCTTCCCATAGACTTACACTGTGAAAGAGACAACTTAAAAATCAGTGGATCATTTTTTTGAGTGTCACAACCCTTGTAAAACATCTTATTCCACTTTGTCCCATTTTGTCCACATTCTGCCCACAAACTGGAAGTAGCTGGCTAGGATGGCGTAAGTCTCTAAAGTGCCCAATCATGTAGAAGCAGTGCTGATCATCTGAGTAATTTTCTACGCAGCAGTTGATCTCTTTGACTTCAAGAGCCACTGAGCAGCTTTCAAAGGAATCAGCCTGGTCTCGCCTGCAACGCTGTATCCAGGTCTCTTTTGACATCCATGTCAGCAACTCGAATACATTCAGCACAAACCCCAGCATCATGTCTTTGATCCCAGACTGCCCCGACTCCTCGCTGGATCGACAAACTTTCCAGTCTGCTGTAGTCCCCTGGCGCTGGATGGTTTGTGCTGGATGAATCTGAGTTGCTACAGCCACTAATGAAGGTCCATCCACTTATAGAAGTAGCTGCTGTCCACTCTTCTCCTGGTGAGGTAGCCTCCTAGTGGCAGGAAAGAGGCAGAGGGACCATGGGGTGGCTAGCAAGCTAATTCTTGTCTCATTTGTTTTATGATAAACAGAGAGAAAGAGCAGGTGGAGGAGGGGCTGATTGACTTAATGCACTGCGTATAGCTTTACTATTAAATAAGATTTAACCCATTTTAGATAGTAAAAAAAATAGAATATGTGGCAGTCAATGCTGATATTCTGGGGGCCGCCACAAATAAATTAATGTATGAGAAACACTGGATTTGGCTAGGATATACTAGAAGGCCCTTTTACACTGCCAGATTTTCCGCGAATGTTGAGCCGTTTTGCAAGCAAACTGTGAGCATTTAGACACACACAGTCGGACTGGTGAGTTGATCCGAGGTGCCCAATTTTCCGCCTCATAGGGTAATCATATGGGTGGAACCCTTTCAGTTTAAACAGACTGAGGCGCCCTTCCACAATGGGAGGGGCTGTTGAAGACTTGTGGGAGGAGCTGTTGATGACACCGCATGTGCGACCCACTGGCGGTGGATAAACAGGAAACAGCTGATGGCAGGAATTAGCGAGCAGCTAGTAGCAAGAGGGAAACACAAACCTGACAGACACTGTAAAGATGAGCAACTGGGGAGACAAGGAATTGCGCACCCTCCTTGTCCTCGCAAACGAAGAGGCCATTAACCGAGCATTTTGCTGCACTCCCCAATTTTGTTTTTATACTGCCAATGCTGAAAGAAGACTGATTGGGCTTTCCTGCAAATTTGAACAATTCCTGTTTAAAAAGGGCTTCTGCTGCCACTGTTTTCCCGTTAAGCGTGAGACAGATCACTACAGTATACGTCAGGACAAGATCAACAGTTTGAAACCTTAAACCTTATAATGGAAACACAAATCAGCGCGGCATTGCTTGACATGGCGGGGCCAAAAGTGACAGCAGAAGAGGCCCAATAATGTAACAACAAAAGTTTGGTGCAGAGTGGGAATGACAGAGGCACCATTCTCCCTAATACATATCAGGGTACCATCTACACGATTCTGAAGCTGTTATTTCAAGGTAAGAAATTTATATAACGTGGCTTTGTGTACAAGATTTGATTACTTCTTCCACCACTGTAAAATGTAACATCCTTGTCAGCTTGATAAAGGGTAAAAAAGAAAAAAAAACAAAACTTCACTTAAAGTAAAAAACGAGAATAAACAGTTATAACAATTACAGATATCAAATAACTTAACACTAATATGTGGAGTAGAACTTGTTTGTTCTGGAGCTTTCCACCTTTCCACAACATCTTCATCAGAAGATGAATATTGCTCAGTTGATGAAATAGTGGTAGTTTTAGGGCCCCAGAGGAGAATATGTGGAGCTCGAGTGGAGTCTGTTTGTTTCTGAGGTCAAGAATCAGCTAACTTTCAAGCTCAACTTTTACGGCAACATGGATAAGATGTTCAAGTGATGAGCAAAGGTGGGTCATAAATCCTCCCTCTTAATAAAATTTACGAGGGGGGGTGAAAAATAAAAAAGTATTGATGCCATTAAGCAGTAAAATTTTAACGATACTCAACTCGTGATGAGATAGCGGAAAGTTTAAACACCTTCAGTTCTGTGTCACCTCAGAGAATTCAGGCTGTTGTAGGTACACAATAAATCTTCCTCTGAGTGAAGCTGACAAGGTCAACGACACTCTGAAGTGTTGACAGGTGAGGTGAGAAAGGTGTGTGTGTGTGTGTGTGTGGTCAGACAGGTGAGGTCGTCCAGGTATCAGGTGAGCATAACTCTGTCAGGTCAGACATGTTGAAATGTGAGTTGTGAGGTCACGCTGGGTGACATTTGTATGTTTTTACCGTCTCCTCTCCAGGCGTCCTGTCCGTCAGTCAGCAGCAACTGGAAGCCTGAGCCTAAGTCCTGCCCTCTCCAGTCCAGTCGCAGGAAGTAGGAGGAGTCAGGCTCCGATGAGACGTAGATCTCACGCACAGACACCGTCATCCCTGCAGAAAACAGCAGATAAACCTGAGTGTCAGCAACATGTCTGCAACATGAGTACAGCTGTAACAGTACATTGATAAATGCATAAAGATATTAATCAGCAAGTATTTTCAGAATTTAAGCAATATTTCAAGCAACAATACTAAAAGATGTCCATTTTCAGCCACTACAATATGTAGATTTTCTGCCTTTTTGTGTTTTATATAATTGTAAATTCATATATGGGGGTTTTGGACTCGGAGAGTGTCCGGTTTGGGGACCTCAGAACTGTATTTCTGCTCTTTGCAGATGATGTGGTTCTGTTGGCTTCATCAGACTATGACCCTCGAGCATTCACTTGGGATGCAAATCACGACCAAACATAAAACCTACTCCAAAGTGGTAATCTTACGGTGGTTTGAAGGAATTATGTCACACTCCATATGCATGTAAACGTCATCCTGACTGATAACATAGTGAACCGAATGCCACCTGTGATTTTATAGAAGGCCAGCATGGGCAGATGGACCAGACAGGGTACCCTAATTTCCAGACCTCTCTGCGTTTTTTTTCTTCAGAGAATATGTGACATTTGAGTAAATATATCAGTGTATCATATCTCACATCATATTTAAAGGGCCAGTGTGTAATATTTGGCATGGTTTATTGTCAATCTGAATCTGAATCTGAATATTCTACCCATTAATATGTTTATGCAAGTGTATAATCGCTATAAAATAAAATTTGTTTAGTTTTCGTAGCCTTATAATTATGCTTTTATATATATATCAAGGGCCTTGCTTTAGAGAGGTCGCCATCTTGCGCCGCCATGTATGTAAGGCAGACCGAGTGGACAATCCAGCCAGCCAGAGAACGCGTTTTGCGTGTATAAATAAACCAACGAAGACAGCGGAAGGAAGGAAGGAGGAGGAGGAAACAGCAGAGAGTGTTAGTAGTTCGTCGATAGAGAGTAGTGAAAAGTTTTTTTAGTTATAAAGTTTGCGAATGGACCACACTTACCACGCAACAGGAGAGAATGAACCCGAACCGTCATCTGCGAGGAAAAGAAGACGCAACTTCACTCCTTGTGATGCACTCTCTGCGGCGCTTTTCCTCCTGGTGATATATCTCCCCAACGATGGCAGCAGTAGCACCGAATCCCATTCTGTGCATTCAGCCTCTCTTCTCGCCCGCTCAGCATCAAACACATGGAGTTCCTCATCTGTATGCTCCGGCTCAAACAGGTATGGCTCTGGGTCTGTGTCCGCTACAAGACACTCTTCAAAATCGCGTTCAAAGTCGTCCATTGCAGCTACTACAGTCCAGAGATATTGCTAGGCTAAATAAACAGCTGAGCTCTGTTTACCGGCTACGCTGTCAGCCGGTGTGCGGGCTGGAGATTGAGCAGAGAGGGGAGGGGGTGCCCGCTAGGTATGGTAAACGAGTATGTGTGTATGGTGTGTGTGTGTTACGCTAGAAGAGTCAGAGTTTGGGACGGAGTCTTTTACCCCCTGGAGTGTTACCGGAGTTTCTGGAGTGCTCAAATAAACGGGCCTTTTTCCCGAACGCTCCTCTGATCTCCTGCTCGTGAGGAAAGACCTACTCCTGAAAAACTCGTGCGCAAGGCTTTTTGTCCCTACGAGGCCACCATCATTTACCCGACGGGAGGAGTGAGCGAGTGAGCCCTGCAATCTAGAATTTGACCACTGATGTCACTGTTTTCAACCCATTTTACACACTGGCCCTTTAATTATTCTTAATAGGCGATTGTAGCCAAGTACCATAATGGCATGCAAATAAAAACTCAGGTAAGTTCAATGTCTGGGCTGAGGCAAAAAGGTTGGGACTCTGGGTGCAAGCGATGCAGTAATGAGAAGTCTGTGTTTTTTCCTTTCATGTGGCTCAGAATCGCCTTCTCCCCCACATTGGCGATGTCAAACGATTTCACACAAAGCTTGCATCTAGCTGTGTGTGTGAATTGGGAATCCTTGGCCAACCAGTATTTATATACAGTATTGTCAAGCCATCCATCCACAAACTTGCATCTACCCATTGTGAACCACGTGAAACTCGTCTTCTTGTAGAAAGTGCAGTGTTGGAGTGAAACTTGATACCTGGGGGGCTGGAGGAGGGTCATGGGGCAGCGGACTGGACATACCACTTGTCAATCAGGTAAAAGGGGTGGTATGTTTTCTGAGATGTTTGCTTTCACACAAACTGTGCTTGGCCCGGCATAAAGCACGATCCAGATTGATTAAATTATTTTTGGAAATACTTAATTTTCTATTTTAGAAAACAGTATTTTAGAACAGTGGTAATAGTCTGGAAACATAAATATTTTTCCATACTTTATTTTTCATTTTCCATACTTTTTAATACCTGGAAATTAATCAAATTTATTTCCATACTTTCCACACTTGCGTAAGAACCCTGTCATTCTGTTTTTATGGCTCAACAAGTTGGATAAAGTGCATTTACGACATCTTCTCTCTGCTGACAATCTGTATCGCTCATAATATTGAATACTGACTATAGTGTGACGCGACTCAAGGAACTGTGAAAGGTTCTTTGTGCCAATTTCAAGCCAAAACTCGGAACATAAACTGGTCCCGACCAGAGGCCTGTACTACAAAGCCAGTTCAACTTACACTCTCATTATCTGGTTTGACTAACCCTAACATTGGACATCTGGATAACTGGTACTGCAAAGCTGGTTATCAACTAGTTCAGTCAACTCTGGGTTTTCCTATCCAGCCACGAGTGCGTTCATGTGAAAGAGGAGGGGCTGTTAATGACAAGCGGCATCATCAGAACCATGAATGAAGTCGGCTGCTTCATATTTTATGAGATGAAACAGTGGCCAAAGTGTCTGAGACTGACAGACAGTAAAATGTCAGTGGCGTGGATTTAAATGACACACAATGATAATCTTAACAGAAAATCTAGAAACACTGAAAACACTATCCACAAATTCACTGTGATTTGAGACTTAAATTACGAGCAGGTATCTCTGAGCTATGGGCCTATGTGACGTTTGTATAGAGTATTTTTTATTGTTTAGTTGATGAAACTGTTGATGAATGAGTTGATGAAAGAGATCTGCTTGCACTGCTGCAGAGAGGAAAAAGCATGCACCTGCAATGACGACTCCAAGTCTCATCAGATCACTTCAAATTAGATTCATGTCATTTTCTGTCAAATTAAAGTCGTTCTGAAGTTCTTATTTATTTATTTAGCTTCAGATTCAATCCCAAACAGTAAAACACTTAAACTCAGTGTGTAAGCTGACAGTCCTGCTGCTGGAGGTGTGTCAGTGCAGCTGTTCTTACATCACTCTCCTGGCATGTGTCCCAGCCTGCTGTTCACGTGCCAGCCAACACTTTACAGTATATTTAACTCCCTTCACCGTTGGCTGTGACCTTCCTGGAAAACAGCCACTAATTGCACAGAACGCAGCTACTTTTTCGTGCTGTGAATTTATCAGAGCCGCAGCGTTTGCAGGGGGTCAAGCTATAGTTGTACAGAGAGAACAGAAGACGTACTGAAGGTCCGAGGGGAAAATGGATCTGTAAACCATCAGAGACCCCATAAGGCTTGGCCACGAGAAACCACAAAGCCCCCACAAGAGGAAACAAACAAGGCCGGCCTGTTGTTAGCTGGTTTAGAGCTGCTATACTCAAGATTCAACTGTTTATTGTCGTACGCAATAAACACATGTTGGCAATGAAGTTGTAGTTATCAGACTCCTTCTAATAGTGCTCATTAAATATGGATAACAAGAAAATCATGCAAGTTAAAAATGAGACTCTAAGACATAGAAAATAGAGCATAGATTATAATATGGGAATAAAATATAGTCTAACATATAAAGAATATATATAATCTGATCATTTTTTATTGTTTATTTGCACTCTTTCCCACTCAGTACTGCAACTGCTGCACAACTATTTCCCTCTGGATAAATAAAAGTTTTATCGAATCTTATCTGTTATTTAATTATAATTGTATTCATATACACTCACCGGCCATTTTATTAGGTACACCTGTTCAACTGCAGCAGCTCAATGCATTTAGTCATGTAGACATGGTGAAGATGAGCTGCTGAAGTTCAAACTGAGCATCAGAATGATGAAGAAAGGTGATTTAAGTGACTTTGAATGTGGCATGGTTGTTGGTGCCAGACGGGCTGGTCTGAGTTTTTACTGGGATTTTCAGCACAACCATCTCTAGGGTTTACAGAGGATGGTCCCAAAAAGAGAAAATATCCAGTGAGCCAAAATGCCTTGTTGATGCCAGAGGTCAGAGGAGAATGGCCAGACTGATTCAAGATGATAGAAAGGCAACGGGAATTCAAATAAGCACTGGTTCCAACCAAGGTCTGCAGAAGACCATCTCTGAAGCAACAACACCTTGTCCAACCTTGAAGCAGATGGGCTACAGCAGCAGAAGACCACACCAGGTGCCACTCCTGTCAGCTAACAACAGGAAACTGAGGCTACAGTTCACACAGGCTCACCAAAACTGGACAATAGAAGATTGGGAAAACCACATTCAGATGGAAGCATGGATCCATCCTGCCTTGTATCAACGCTTCAGGCTGCTGCTGGTGGTGTAATGGTGTGGGGGAGATTTTCTTAGTACCAACTGAGCATGGTTTAAACACCACAGCCTACCTGAGTATTGTTGCTGAGCGTGTCCATCCCTTTATGACCACAGTGTACCCATCTTCTGATGGCTACTTCCAGCAGGATAACGCACCATGTCACAAAGCTCACATCATCACAAACATGACAATGAGTTCACTGTACTCCAATGGCCTCCACAGTCACCAGATCTCAGTCCAATAGAGCACCTTTGGGATGTGCTGGAACGGGAGATTCTCATCATGGATGTGCAGCTGACAAATCTGCAGCAACTGTGTGATGTCATCATGTCAGTATGGACCAACATCTCTGAGGAATGTTTCCAGCACCTTGTTGAATCTGTGACACCAAGAATTAAGGCAGTCCAACCTGGCACCAGCAAGGTGTACCTAATAAAGTGGCTGGTGAGCGTACATGCTTCAGTTTTATAATGTCTGGATTCTTTTGTTCTTGATTTTTTTCACCCTGATTAATCTGTTTAATCAACACCAAAAAACAACATTCATCATCTGTTCACTTAGCAGAAACATGCGCACACCTAACGCTGGAGTGAGTGTTATGTAAACACTAGTTATCCTGGCTGCAGTTTGCAGGTGTAAATGACCGAAGTGTAAATGATTAGTCCAGCTCCATGTAACCGTGTCATCATAGCACCATAAGCACTGTAATGCAGTAATACACAACCTCTCATTAGGTCTGTAAGTACAGGCTCAGCACAGTAAAGCAGCGACCAACCACAGCAGCATGCTTCCTAACACAGCCACACACACACGTCTCAGCAGAGCAACAACAGCAGCCGCATCTTTAACAACATCCTAACAACACCTGCTTCACAGCTAAATATACACACAGGCCGAGAACTTCTCACTTCTGGAAAGTGTCACTTATTACATTTAAAGACACTGTGCTTCTTCTGCAGCAGGAAGTGCATCTGTCTCTGCACCACAGACACAACCACCATTATTTCTATTTGTTCTGGTAATTTAGGACTTTTAGCAACTTTACATTCAATAATTAAATTGTACAAGATGTGGTTATTTAATTAGCTATTTCCTGTGTTTTTAACAAAGCTAGCTGCAGGTCGAGTTCTCAGGTGTAGATTCTGTATGGGGCTGGTTATGACGCTTAATAATGGCCAGAAAAGTGTTTTATGCAGAACATTATGATGTCACAGTGAAGCTGACATTTGACCTTTTGGTTTTAAAATGCCATCACTTCATCATTCAGTCATGTCAGACATTCATATGAAGTTGTGTCATAATTAGCGTATGAATTCTTGAGTTAGGTCACAGTAAAGTTTGACCTTCGACCACGGAATTCTCATGAGCTCATCGTTGAGTCCGAGTGAACGTCCCTGTGGGTGTTTGACATATCACATTCACAAGAACGAGAAAGGCAAGGTCACAGTGACCTTTGACCACCATAATCTAATCAGTTCACTCTTGAGTCCAAGTGGACGTTTGTGCCAAATTTGAAATATTCTCTCAAGGTTGCCGGGTATTGCCGGCGCTGAGGCATAAAAAAAGGAAGAAAGAAAGAATATTGATGAAACTTCACTAGGCCATGGAAATAATATTTTGGAATTCTTAATTTTGGTGGTGTCCACTTTAAAGTGCTTAAGTACTCCTCTGACCCCTGACACTGTGTTAGGAACATGTGCAAATGTGTGTGTTTATGGGTCATAAATGCATCATTACAACTCCACCCCAGAATTTTAAAATGTATTTATTTCTCCCTAACTTAATTTAATCTGAGTTGTTTGTTTTATTTTTTGTTATTCTTCTAATTTTGTTTTTTTTGTTATTATTTTTTATCTTATCTAATTACTGCAATATTCATCTGTGTATTATTTTATCAAGCTCTGGCCTGTAACCAAAATAATGGTGGAAAATGTAAAAATACAATAATAATAATAATAAGAGGAAGAAGAAGAATGAATAAAATGTTTTTAAGTACTTATTATGCAGAATGGCCCTTTCCGGAAAATATATATATTAGGGGTGTAACGATACATCGATCCACATCGATACATCGATTCATTGATTAACGATCCGATTATATCGATGCAAAATGAAAACATCGATCCATATCGTCATCTTAAAGATACACATTTATTTTGAAATTCACATAGCACGTCTGTGTCACCATTTCTGGGCAAGCGCGCCTCCACTCAAACAACAAACAGAGCTCAGAAATAAAATGGTCAAATCATATTCTAGTTGTTTTTGTGAGTTGATGTAAATGATTGTGTTAGATGGGCATATGATATCACGTCATATCGATCGCAGGCTCCTGAATCGAATCAAAATCGTATTGTGACAGACTTTGTGATCCAAACAAACATCCAAACAAATCGATATAATATTGTATCGTGATTAAGCTGGTGATTTACACCCCTAATGTATATCACATTATTAGATTATAATTATTGCTGCACGTTAATGTTGCAGCTGGTAAAGGTGGATGTTTGAGGACAACCACCTTGTTCTGAATATCAATAAGACACAAGAGATGGTGTTTGACCCTACAGCAGTCAGTAACCACAGGCCTGTGGTCGTCCACAACCAAACCATCACACAGGTCCCCTCATATAAATATCTCAGTGTCTTTGTTGACAGCTCACTAACCTGGAACACACGTTAATGGCTGCATTTCTCACGTCATCTGAGAGTTCATAGTTTTGGCAGTCCTACAGAGCCTAATCAGGTACAGTATCACAGCTTGGTCCGGTAACCTCTCTTTCTGTTTCAGTTGATCCATACTGCAGTGCCTGTAATCTGTTGCAGACTGAAGAGATTTAAAAATGAATTTATACCTTTGTCTATAAAGCTTTTAAATAATGGCAGATAAAATCAGAACAGGCACTGATTATGATGATTTGCGTTTTGTTAGAGATATTTTTTAGCACTTGATGTTATTTATTTATCTTTTGTTTTGTTTTATTATTGTTACATTTGGTGTAGAATGTTGATTTGTTTATTTACTATGTTGCATGCTGTAGTTTTATGGCTGCAGTACTGTGAAAGTGCCCAAGACAAATTTCCCACATTAGGGGACAATAAAGTTGACGTTGAATCTTGAACCTTGGAGCACATTTTGATTATTTCCACCTGGGTAGTTTAACTTGTAATATGTTGTGTCAATAATTTAAATCTGTAAAGTAGCTAAAACAAATGTAGTGCAGTTAAAAAGTACAGTATTTCCCTCTGAGATGTACAAAGTAGCATAAAATGGAAACACTCAAGTGAAGTAAAAGTACCTCAAATTGTAGAACAGCAGTACTTGAGTAAATGTACTTGGTTACATTGCAGCACTGGTTGCAGCGTTATATAAGACAGAGAAAGGCAGAAAATGCTCACATTAGAGATGTAAAGACTGTTTTACAATCTGTCATAAAAGATTTTTACTGCTTTTGGATGTATAATATTAAGGTGTTAGCATAGCCGTTGTTTCTGTCCACACAGTGAATCTTCTGGAAACTATAATAGGATAAACTAATCCCTCATTTCCCTCGATTAAATATACCCAGGTGTTTCACAGTGTTTGATGTCCAGCTGAACCTCCAGTGACACCGGACACAGGAAAACCTCCCTGTCATCCAACAACACTGAATGAATGAGTTAGCTCGATGCTAACTCTGACACAGACGCTGTTTGTAAACACAGAGGCGGAAGCTAAGACACGCGAGGACACAGAAGAAGAAGAAGAAGAAGAAGAAGAAGAAGAAGAAGAAGAAGAAGAAAGACTCGGTCACACCTCCAGTAACGACATGTAAGGTTTCTCTTACCTGCAGCTTCTCCTGCTGACGCTTTGTTTTGAGGAGTAAAAGTTATCTTCGGTTCAAACAGCTCGCAGCTGCAGCGGGGAAAGTTAGCTGCCACGTCATCATCATGCGACGCAGCCGAACAGCTGGTTAAATAAGAGGTGGGCGGCACCACAACACAGCAACGTGGTTTCAGTCCTGTACTCAGAGGCAGGGGCGTAGATATAGATAGTGGGGGCCCATGGGGTGAGAGGGCCCATAGAGAGGGGCCCTCCAACTATACATTAGGCATAAACTTTTCCTTGAGAGTAATTTAGATCACAGATTTAATATTTTCTATTATTATTTTTAAGACTTTATTTTTCCTTTTTTCTTTCTTTCTTCCATTTTGTAAAATAGTCAGTAGCAACGTGCAACAAAATATGTTAAAAAATATAAAATATGTGCTTGCTCTACATCAGCTATAAATAAGGTATAAAAACGATGTAATTAAAAGAATAATTCCTTATTTTCTTTGGTATTTTTGTCCTTTACATATATGCCATGATGATTTCTGGTTGATATGTGTGTTGCTGTTGTCCAGTGTCAAGTCTATATTTGATCATGTGACGATAAGATTAAACAGTAGCTAGTTCGGGTGCATAACAAGTAGCGTCCCTTAGGGCCTGTCATAATAGCGTGCACTGGGGCCCGTTGCAACAAATTTACACCACTGCTCAGAAGTGATTAGCTTTTGGAAAATTATCCAATTTTTCCCCCCGAATCCTCTGATTGAATAGATGTTTTTCTTTCCATGCTTGTTCCCCTGATTCCTTTTTTTATTTTGTTGTTTTTGTTTTTTAATCTTTGTTTTTGTTTGTTTGTTATTTTTATGTAACTATCTTAAAATACTGGTACTTACACTTTTCACATACTTTTTGTCATACATAGGGTTTCTTATTTTATATGAGTGTATATCAGTAATTAAGTACCTGATGTTTTGAACACGTTCTTTTTCTAAATTAAATTTTAAAAGTATTAATACTACAGTGTACATATACTGTGTTACAAGTAAGATATGATAAGATGAGATAAAACTTTATTGATTCCACACCAGGGAATTTACATGTTACAGCAGCTCAAATAGCAAAGAGAGAAAAGCAAGTTGGATGGCAATAAAATACTTATAGAATAAAGACAATACAAAAAAATACAATATATATCAGAATTAGAAAAATATAAGTGAAAGTACTTTCAAAATAATTTATATTAAATTGGATTATAACTATTGATGCTTTAATGTGTTCATTGCTTTAATGTTGCAGCTGGTAAAGGTAGAGCTCATCTTCATGACTTTATATACTGCGGGGTAGTTTAATCTATAATAATACTTCATCCAGGGGTGTAAATATAGACAGTGCAATGGAGAGAGCGGGCCCTCCAACAGTGTGTTGGGTGGAGAATGGACCCTTATGAGGTTGTAAATATGCCTGTGTTCAAAGAGGAACTCTCATTAAATTAAAAAACAGTGCCAGTTGCTATGTATGCTCTTAAAAAAAAGGCAAACCCAACTTCTTCATGTTTTTTTTTTCTTATTTTGTAAAATAAAATAAAAATGCTTAATCCAAATAAACTATTATAAACTATTAAAATTGTGAAATTAAATTGATAATTTCTCCTTTTTTTGATATACAGATGTGCATTGATGATTGCTGGGTAAAATGTATGTTAATGTTATCCAGTGTCAAGCCTCAAATCAAGACAATATGTGCACGATAGCGCACACTATCAGGCCAGTCATATTAGTGTGAGCTGGGGCCCATTGTAATAACCTTATGCCACTGACTTCATCATTTATTAGCTGATTATATTTTGTATTAATAATCTGAATCTGTAAAGAAACTAAACTTACTTAATCATGCACATTTAAACACAAGGCAGAACGTATTCAAACAAACACAAGAAGTTTGTGCTCTAGAGAAAGGATCAGCGCTCAGTGAATAACCTCCTAAACCCTATGATAAGCTATTATGGCAAGGCTTAACTATACAGACTTGTGAGCAGTGATAATTAACATGTCTTTGGGGTCATCGGGTGGGAACCTCCTTTCACCAGTGTTTCATCTAGTTAGTCCCACGACACCTCCAGGAGGCTAGACAGTGATCTCTGGCGTCCCAGAGACACTCCCCTAATGCCAGGTCTCACTGCTCCCCGCACCAACCCAACAACCTCCTTTACCTTACTTACGCATGGCTTTCTCAGCCCAAACAGCACCGCCATCTTCAACATGAATATTAATTCCAGTGGCAGAAAGTAAGTACATGTACTGAAGTACTGTAGGGTAGCCTACTTGGGTACAAATTCAAAGTTTTGTGCTACTTTATACTTCTACTCTACTACATCCAAGAGGGAAATATTATACTTTCGTACTTTCTTTCATGATGTCATATTTCAGGAGGGTGGTAAAGGCAAAATAGTAGTATCTGAATATTCAGCGTTTGTGCTATGATAACTTAGCATGAAATGGAAATACATGGGTACAGTAGAAGTACCTTAAATAGATTACAGTAATGGTGGCTTTGGTTTGGCTCTGCATGTGGGATTCATCAAAAATAAGGAAAATATAGAATATTATGGGACTTATCCTTTGACTGGACATTTCCAGAATGGCTGGAGCACCCGAAAAATACATTAACTCAATAATCAATATTGAGTTTTCTTGTTTATCTGCATGTTTGCATGCAATCATTACCACGTCGAACCATTTTTGAGACAATTTATAAGAATGCTGGTCACTAAAAGTGGCCTTTAAACTTCTCATTGTCAGTCTTAGATGTTGTGTCCTCCTGACAGACGTAAACTTTAATGACACACTGGAGCAACTCATCTGCATATTAAGAACAGCAGTAACTACAGACAAATGTTACATCCGATGAGATGAAGCATGTTAAAGTTAGAATATAATGATCTCCCCTCCTCTGGGTTGTTTTGGTTTCCTCGTCAGAGAGGCAAAGGAAACAAGCTGTGTGCCACATGTTGCAGAGAGGGAAATGAAGGGATTACTGCAAGAGCATGATCGGAGTTCTGCAAACAGACACTCTCTCCAAGAATAATTGCTCTAAGAGGCTGCTCGGACATTAAAGCGCTTTCTATTAAAGAAACCCACACACTGAGGCCCAGATCAGCTGTTTTTCTGTGGGGATTTACAGTGTGTGTGTGTGTGTGTGTGCAGTAGTTCAGCGTTGCATGCATGACTGGAGTTCACAGAGTTACCTGTGCAGCTCTCCCAGGTGGCCTCTGAGTGCGTGATCACATGAGTGCAGGACTGTGGGAAATATTAAGTTTCAGTCGGAGATTCTCAGAGTCAGCTTGGACTTGTTTATAAAAAGAGACGACCACAAATTGCCCAACAAGCTTGCTAAACCCTCCTCCCCAGAACGCTGATTGTTCAATAATAGCTGAGCAACCATAACCATGTCTGCCAGTGTTTGGATTCTCCACATGTTGAAGTGTTGGTGCACATGGAGCTGTAGTAAAAGAAATACTACATAGTATCTGTGGTTTACTGAGACACATAATGTCAACATTTTTTCTGGTGTTTGGGTTGTTTACTGAAATAAAAGCTCTTACAAATTCTGAAATCGAGGACCCATTGTTTCAAAAATCACCATGAATTTTAATGGTAAATCTGCCACTGTTATTGTAAATGGTGTATTAGCGGTGTGAGAACAGAAAGCTTGACAGTCTGATGGAGCTCTCTGCTTCTTACTTAGCAACATGTCCTACCCTGAAGCGGTGAAAGCTACTGGGATAAAAGACCCAGTGATGACCTTGCTGTTGTTTTTGCTTAGATGTTTGAGTTGATCCCCGCAGTAATTCCTTCCTGTTTATCTGTTTGTATTTCTCATTATTTAATTTCTTTTATAGGCCGTTATTATTATTTTTTTAGGAAGTCCCTCAGAGGCTGTGTCCTTCTTTGATTTCTGTAATGTTCTCTTGTTGATTTAAGGGTCAGATAATTATAAATAATCTTTCATGGAGTGTATGACAGGATCAGGAATTATTCCTGCTCATAAGATCCACTCTTATATGATTAAAAAAGCAATTTTATTTATCGTAATAAATCAGTAATACGTTCCTTTGATGGTGAATTAAAAAAATCTTGACTTTGGTGCCCTCCAGTGGTGATAAAAAAAGACACTTCATTTCCCCAACCCGAGGAAGATTAACGGGCTGAAAACAACTGCAACTCAGATTTTCTATAAAACATTTTTTTGCCACTAAAATAATTTGAAATATGTGAAAAATTCTGGACTGATAATGTTCTTGATAACACCTGGAATTAGGTGTGATCAAACAAACCAAATGCTCATTCTCAAGTTCTTGATTTCGAGAAAACAAAAGTAATTTTCTCCTGATATATTATCGCGTTATCTTCTAGAATTCTACCCTTGAGAATGGAGACATATTAATCTGTTATTACGAGACAATTAGCTTTGTCCTCTTGTATAAATATTGAACTCTAACAGACACATGACCATAGGTGAGGAAAGCAGCTGAAATAAGTTTCCTTTGTGGGGTGGCAGCCTTAGAGATAGGATAAGGAGCTCGGAGTAGAGCCGCTGCTCCTTCGCGTCGAAAGGGGTCAGTTGAGGTGGTTCAGGCATCTGATCAGGATGCTTCCTGGGTGCCTCCCGTTAAAGATATTCAGGGCATGTCTCACTGGTAGGAGGCCCCGGGGCAGACCCCGAACATGCTGGAGGGATTACATATCTCATCTGGTCTGGAGATACCTTGGGGTCCTCCAGGAGGAGCTGGAAAGTGTTGCAGGGGAGAGGGATGTCTGGGGTGCTGTGCTTGGCCTGCTGCCCCCACAACCAAGCCCCGGATAAGCGGATGAAAATGGATGGATGGATAACAGTCACAGTCAGAGACTAGCTGGTGAACATAGTGAAGCATTTAGCAGCTAAAGAGACAGATATTTCCCTCAGGAGCTGCTGGAGACCAAAAACAGAGCTAAAGGAGAGAGAATATTGGACTAACATTCATCAGGTGGCACAAATACAAAAATGAATCATCATGTTGTTCTGTAAAGAAACAGAAATAAGCAACTGTTTGCTCACAAGTTCAACATGTCAACTCTATAAGGTGATGCTATGTCAATGTAAGTTTTATGGCTCGTTCTGCTGCCCCCAAGTGGCCAAAAAAGCAATTAACAGCTTTAACACTTCTGCACACATTAGAATTACATGTTTTCACTCCTCTGACAGTTTCATGTAGGGAA